GGGGGGGGGCAAGCGAGAGATAGCTAAAGGGGGGAAGCAGACAAACAAACAGACAGATAAACGAGCTCCCACTTAAACGAAAACAAAATCAAGTGTAGAAAAGAGTAAAATTTGTTCTTGAAACGAGTTACCCATCCCACCCCAGCCCCCTTCTTTTTCAATTATTTTGCCTTGGGTATTTTGACAAACAATTGTAATCATCGGCAGTCAGATAAGGTCGGTGTAGTCTTAATTTGATTATTAACCATCACTTGTTTGTCATGGCGTATCCATAATACCTGATACCTGGAGGTGTCATCTCTGACTCTGAGGTTGACGTTTAATTACCCTCCATCGTTCACGGTCGCGAGCTGCCGTTGCATATTCTGGCATTCCAGGCCTGTCCATGTCCTTATGCTGTCCATCCATGTTATTCTTTGCCTTCCTCTGGTTCTCCTGCCCCACATCTTTCCTTCGTGCAACTCTTTCACATTGGTCTCGTGTCGTTTTAAGTTGCCATAGTAATGTATTTTTCTACATTTTATTTTGTTCAGCGGAGTTTGTCTTGTGTGTATAACCTGACACACCTCTATGTTTGTCTTTTTGGCTTTCCAACTTTTCTGGACATTCTACGGTAGCACCACATCTCAAACAGATTTATTTTGTTTTCTTCTTTCCTATTCAAAGTCCAGGTCTCTGCGCCATATATAGAATATAGGGAAGATGTAGCATTCCAGCATTTTTCTTTCTTAAAGTGAGAGATAGCTGCCTGGATTTAAAATAATTTGTATATTTGGCTGAAGCTTGTTTTTGCAGCCGCTGTTCTTATATTTCTTTTTCACTTCTTCCATCACCTGTGATTGTTGCCCCTAGATATTTGAATTGGTGCACTTGTTCGATTCTCTCCCCATCTATGGTTATGTCTGTTCTTCCAGAAGATTTTGATAAGACCATTGTTTTTGTTCTCTTGGTTTTCATGTCGAGGCCTGCCTTGCTGCTGTTCACTTTTATTACTTTCACTATTTTAGAAAGACACTCGTTGATGTTTGCAAGCAGAACTGTGTCATCTACGTATCTCAGGTTATTGATGTTGCGGCCCCCAACAGATTTGAGATTCTCTAAAAAAAATATTTAAAAAAGTAAACTCTGTATAGATGTTGAAAAGATAGGAAGAGAGGACACAACCTTGTCTCACTCCTCTATGGATTATTTTAAAATATTTTCTGATATTTCATTACATAACTTTTATTCATGTTGTTGAGTTAATTTCCCATAATATGGCCTTAAACAGATTGATGTGTGTGTGTGTGTGTGGGGGGGGGTGGGGTGGGGGGGTGTGTGGGTGTGTGTGCGTGCGTGCACTAGATCTAGTGTGTTTGCGCGGGTGTGTGTGTGTGTGTGTGTGTGTGTGTGTGTGTGTATGTGTGTGTGTGTGCTTGCGTGTGCGTATGTGTGTGTGTATGTGTGTGTGAGAGAGAGAGAGAGAGAGAGAGAGAGAGAGAGAGAGACAGAAGACAGACAGACAGACAGACAGACAGACAGACAGACAGACAGACAGACAGACAGACAGACAGACAGACAGACAGACAGACAGACAGACAGACAGACAGAGACAGAGAAAAAGCGCAAGAACTAAATGACCTGAGCTGGGAAACATAACTAGTTTGGAGTAACCTGAGCTGTGGCGATCAGGGCGTGAGTCTAACAGTGTCGTTGGGAGCGCGTGTCTAAGAACTCTATCTCTTGTGAGTGTCCGGTTAGTGGTCCTCCCCCCGTCAGAATAACAAAATCCGACAAAATAAACAACAATCTATCCAGTTTCTATTCCGTCCTCAGTTTAGCATCATCGCATCACCCTCATCAAACGATATTATTATCATATTATTATCATTCAGTGGAGGGGTGGACTTGTATCGTCAGTGGAGTTCTTTTTCTGGGTGGGTTTGGGGGGGGGGG